TTGAATATCTACTAATTGTATCTCATAATTATTTTAGTTCACAGTTCCAAATATTATAGGTATTATATTCCTATTCCTATTAACCTATTTATAGGTATTCTAATTTCAATTAATTAGGAAAATGGTAAAAATTAGGTCTATACCAACAAACATTCACAAGTAGAAATGGTATACCAACCTACGACGCATGCGTTTTTAAACTTTATATTTGTACTTATGTATTTGAGAGGAATTAACTTTGAAATTTGTTTTTAGAGAATGAAGAGAAACCAGGAGTGTTATCAAAATTAAAAATGTTGATCAAACGTCCTACTTTTTGTTTTAGTGGTTCAAGTAATACATTTTTAATAATCGGTGTTACTAAGTTTTGCCATAATATTAACATAGTTTTAATTACAAGACGTAATGGCCTAAACAAAATTTAACAAAATTTAAAGCATAATATGATTATGCAAAATGAAATAAAAAGAATATGTATCATTAAATTTAAATTAATAACTATTACAAAATTATATAGATAATATTATTTTTTAAATATTTAATATATAAAAATAGAATTTTTTCTTTCCATTTATTATAGTATCGTGGAAATATTTTTCCCAGTGATTTACTTTTATTCTAGTAAAAGATTTAAGAAGTATATCCCATTATCCAATGCCGGGTATCGTTATACGTCGATACCAATTAATATTTAATTATTATTGTTACATTATAGATATTATCGTTCAATTTTGATTTAGAAAATAGAAATTTATTGGCATAATACTAATCTAGTTTTAATATATTTTTAGAGGAAAGCAAACCAAAAGGTAGATAAAGTTTGTCTAGATTATTTTATATGTCTTTATTTATTATTATATAATATTACCTATTTTAGTTTCAGAGAAAATGGAAGAAAATCATAATGGGGTAATAAAGTTCCTATAAGTTTTAATTTTTTTTTTTTTATTTATTGCTATACCTACATTATTTTATATTTTAATATTATAATTATTTTTCCGAAATATTAACCTATAGATTCGATATATATATTACAGGATCATGGAGCTACAAATTCTACACTAGCTACAGGAGTCACATCAATATCACATTCAGCTACAAGTTCTACTCTAACTGCAAAAGTTCAAGGAAAACCATATTCCATATTACAGTACTAAGTTCCTAATCGTCAAATTAGTTTATAGAAAATTGAAATTTATCATTAAGTCATTATCCCCTACCCTCGTTACCCATACCATTATATTTGAATATAACATCTAAATTGCTTTTAGTAGTCTTTTGTTAAGAGCATGTCACACTGCTTACTTGTATTTCAACGGTCTTGCCAAATAGTGAGCATATACATTATACTTACTTATACCAAACCAAATTTAGCAGAATTATAATTAATTTTATTCTGATAAATTTGATATTAAACATAAAATACAGCGTAAAACGGATTATTTTTAACTTAACCTAGTCTATAATTTGCATTAGTAAGATACAAATAAGTTGGTTTATATAGACATCGTAAGTTTTATTTTAAATATCCAATAGTTTTTAATTAGATATATCTACAAGATAAACGCAAAATGTCAATAACGTGTTAGTTTTAATCAACGATATAAACGTAAAATTCGTACAACGGTTTAATTATAATCAACAATAAACATTATTTAATTCTAAATAATTGAAAATTAAATTTTTTTCAGACACTATGGACCCAGCGTCTACGGTGACCGCTTCGGTGCACCTAGCTACAATTACCACTCAGGTGATCGATATCTTAGCGGGGAGCGCTACGACGACGAAGATTACCGTGACAAAAAAGGCGAAAGACTTAATTAAATTGTAATATCAATTTTAAAAACATCATACTACCTCCCACACAGCAAAATTATATTTTCAAAATATTGTGGAAATATTGTCAATACAAATTAAAATGTATTTGATTTAAACTGTCAAAATATTTTTAAATATTGTCATATTGACAAAAAATTTTAGAAACATTATTGTAGCTAATTATTTTCATAATATTGTTGAGATATATTTTCACAAAATTGTAACTATATATTTTAACAAAATTGTAGCTATATATTTTCACAACATTTTAGCAATAAATTTTCACACTATTTTACCTATAAATTTTCACAATACTGTAACTCAATATTTCATTCATGCAATTTCAAAACTACGATAATATTAGGCCAATAACAGACAATTTATAGTACTACCTACTAAATATAAATTAACCATTAGTAAAATATTATAAACGGGTTGTGTAATATTATGTATTTTATTTGTTTTTAACAATATATTGTTTAATTTATGTTTTTGGTCTTAAACATTTTAAATTTACTATCCATTATTGAGATATAACAATAATTATGAAAATTAAAAAACCATACTTTAAGTGAATTTAAACAAAATCTTTAATATATTCTGATAAATTTATATTAATTTGAATATAAATAATGAAAATAAATTACCTCGTATTATAATGAAGTAATAAAAATATTGCAGTAAGTATAAATAATGTTTTAACAAAATCTTATATGATAATAACAAATATGTGTTCAAGTAAATGCATACTGCAGATTAAAATAAAAAAAAAAATGTCTCACATAATAATAATAAATAATAAACAATACTGCAAGTGAATATAATATGTTTAAACAAAAACTTAAATGTGTTCTTGTATTATAGTATTAATATACATATATTTGAATAAATAAAATTTAAATGAAAATAAATTACCTCATATTATAATGAAATAATAAAAATATTGCAGGAAGTACAAAATAATGTTTTAACAAAATATTATATGGTAATAATAAATATGTGTTCAAGTAAATACATACTGCAGATTAAAATAAAAAAAAAATTTCTCACATAATAATAATAAATAATAAACTATACTGCAAGTGAATATAATATGTTTAAACAAAAACTTAAATATGTTCTAGTACTAATATACATAATTATACATACATTTGAATAAAATAAAATTTAAATTAAATTAAATTACCTCATATATATTGTAATAAAATTATTAAAACACTGCAGTAAGTAAATATAAATAATGTTTTAACAAAATCTTATATTCTAATATAACAAATATAATATGTTCAAGAAAATACATACAGTAGTTTAGAATAAAAAAATTGTCTCACATAATAATAATAATAATAAATAATTAACTATACTGCAAGTGAATGTATGTTTAAATAAAACTTAAATAATGTCTTAACAAATCTTATATGCTAATATACAAATATATGTTCAAGTATTATTAAAAAATTGAATTATCATCATCGTTATTGAGATTTGCAGCCATTTTTTTCATTCTTGGTGTTACTTGGGTCATCCAGTTCTTAATGGGTTTTTCAATATCAATGTTAGCCGTATCTTTAAACTTTTCCATTTTACGAACATTATCTATAAAGTAATTATTTTATATTATTATATTAATATATAATGTATTTCAATACAACTACTGTTGAACTTTTATTACCTAAATAATTTATAGCCAGTATAGTTATTAAATTAGTTTATAATAATCTGTATAATATATAAAATGTATATATATCATATAATATAAAGTAAGCTGATTGACTGCTATCAACGCACAGCTCAAACCATTGGACGGATTGGACTGAAATTTGGCATATAGATAGCTATTATGGCGTAGGCATCCGCTAAGAAAGTATTTTTCGAAATTTTGAATTTAAAGGGTTGAAATCTTAAAAATTTTTACGTGTAATTTGTATATCTATATTCATATAATAATAACAATAGCAGCCGACCAGAGCCAGAGGGTTTCCATCTACCTGTACTCTGACCTTTTATTTGTGTGTATTTTATCAGTGTGTACTGTGTAAATATGAATTGTTCCGTGGCTATACTCTGTTCAAAATAAGATCGTGACCCGGCGGCGACCAGTTTTCGTCGGGCGGTGGTCAGACATATGGAAAGATGCCGTCCCCACTACAGCGACGCGTCGGGCGCAGCGCAGCCACGGAACAAAGCCACGCCCATGCGCACAACTCGGCCGCCGGGTCACGATCTTATTTTGAACAGAGTATATATTATTATTTATGAGTTGTATAGAAAGCACCGACTAGCTCAATTATACAAATCTCAATCTTACTTTACAGCGATTTCGGGGTATTATTATAAGCTGGGTTATTTACACGTAGAGCCCGTGGAGGTATTATTGCGTATTATAATATCGTGTCGTTAGCCGCGACGTTGGCGTTGTCGTTTTCATGATAAAAGTACGGAAATATAATACTTCAGTCGTAATAAACCCATCGACGACCATCCCATATCTTCCCCCACCACTTTTCGTACATACACATGTTGTACGTCGTCGTCACTGACAGCGCAGAGTAGCTGTGCTCGGCGTACAGTCGTGACTGGTGAAGACGTGAACCGAAGTTTCACTTATCTTTCACACGTCGTGCTCGCCTGTTGTGTAAATGCTGTAAGTCTGTGGTCTACTAACATTCTAATCTGACATCGTAGTGCTTATAGTATATTTAATACATCGTTAATTAACCATATCGATTGGTAATTTCTATATTGTACCAATATTATATATTATACGATTTTGATTTGTACTGCACAAAATATAATATAATCTGTATATATCTGTCTATAAAAACGCGTTGTCGGCGGAAAGATCCACGGTAGCACCGTTGTCGTTTCCACGATAGAAATTTAGTGATTATCCTACATATTATATTTATAGCTGTACGTGACGAAAACGTTTGCTGTTTGCTTAACGATATTAAATGTATGTCCACGTGCTGTAAATGATATGTATTTGGCCACGTTGTCGTTGTCGTTGTCATTAAGTAGCGATAGCCTAGCATTCGATAAAGGACTGGTAAACGGTTTTGGTATACAAGTGTAATATAAGACAGCTTACTGTCGGATTAGTTTTTTAGATTTTTCCGTGTTTGGTTTTTGTTGTTAGGAGGATTAATTTAAAGTTGTTTAATTTAATTAAATAAGAAATGGCTAAAGAAAGTCTTTCAGTTAATGGAGAACTTGAACAATATACTATTGTCCCCATTGTTGGCGACGGTGCCTGTTTATTCCGAGCTCTTTCTTTTTTAATACACGGAACACAAGACAATGCGATGGAGGTGCGATCACTAATTGTCGGACATGTGGTGAATGACTGGACCAAGTTTTCAGTTACGTCCCACAATAGAAATGGTGATAATTACTCAACGGCTAATGAATATTATGCTGATATGATAAAAAATGAAAATGAATTTTAAAGTTTATCGAAATGGTATATTATAAACTGAGTCCGGATCTAATGATTGTCCAGTAAAGCTTTTACGATTTGGACAAGATTTGTCCAATGGACATTTTGATGCTTAACTTCCTACTGCTGCAGAAAACAATACTCAGAGTCGTATAGAGGGACTGGTCGATGAACGCGAACATTTACCTATTGCATCTTCAGTACACAGTAACATTTCTGCAAAAATTTCACTATCCCAATCAAGTGAAACAGATCAATCTATTTCGTCCTCATTAATTAAAAAGAGAAGACGAAGGGCTAGATTTACTAATTACACAAGAAAAAAACAAATAAAAAAAGCAAAAAAAAAATATATAAACAGAATAAAACTGAATCTAGTTATAAGGAAAATACTACTATGCGTCTATGGTAAAGCAAGGTGCATTCAGGTGTGGCATATGATCCAGATATTGCATATAGAACTGACACCTGTACTCATAGATACGCACTTGGCTTCGGCAAGACCACTTTCCACTCGATACGATATTTTTTTTCGGCCTAATAAAAATAGTTATAATAATTAAGGTTGGAAACTGTGCACTATTTCTTTTTTGGAGTATAAATGTGTTTTAGTTACTAAAACTACTGTAGTTAAACAATTTAAAAATGTTAAAATATTATGCAGTTTTTGAGATTTTGATGTATTTAACAAAAACGTGTGATTATGACGGATCTTTATTATTTTTAAACTATAAAATCTTAAATTATTCATTACTACCTAGTAGGTTAGAATGTGGATGTAATTATATGGACATCTCTAAACCACCTGGATAAAATGAGAAATTTAGTATATAGTTAGAATTTGAATAATGTGTTATCCCAGAAATGTTTAAAAATAATATACAAACTGTAACATTAATTTTAAATAAATAAACTACGTAAGTTTGGTTCGTATTAATAAATGCTTTGTAACACGCATACAGAAACTTTATAATAAAACTTCTGTGAAATTTTGTTCAAAAATATATTACACACAATATTGATTTAGGTTCAGACGTTCAGTAGCTATAAACATATACAATATAAAATTATATAATATCTTTATTTAACTTACTAACGCTCATCGAGCGCCCGACCGCAGTTATGGTCACGCGGAGCGACGGAAGACGGCGACGGCACGGTGGCTAGTAGACGTACCTGCGCGAGCAACGATTCCGCCTCGAATTTACACCGACTTGGTACGATGGCGATAGTGACTCGGTACGAAGGAACCGGCGGAGACCTCGGCACGGGGTGAGTGGTACGGAGATTTGCGTGCTAGAAACACGGGGACTTCAGCGGCGCCGGATTCGTAGAAACTTGACCGTTTCCTGGTCTGGCGGCGCACGGCGGCCGAAGGGACAACGCCAGGGTGAAAATTACCGACAGCCAATTACTTCACTGTGGTCCACTGACTCTCTCCTATTCACCCCCGCGGTAATCCCACATTGGCGGCTTCGCTCGTCCACACCGGTTCCGCAGCACAGAATCTCACTTCGCTCGTTCCGCGTCTTGGTCTTCGCCGTCCATTGGCTTGATCGTCACGCAGTCGACCGTCGATACGCGCACGACATCGCGCACTAGCCGGCTGGGCAAGGTCGTCAAGCGTTCGAGCAAACACGCCAGTGACATTCGTCAACCCGCGGGACAGGTCGGAGAACGTGCAGAGGTGACCAGTGGCTAGCAAAACTGCATTTTTGCACTAATCGCCATCTCGCATCCTCCACCCTTGTTTATTATGTCTATCATGTCCGTCGTATTTTTTTTTTTTAAATTTAAGTTATTCCAAATTCCAAATTGATAAATTGTTTCAGCCCTTTTCTTATAATAAACATATTTTGATGTGAACAAAAAAATGTTGTTTCATTTTAAGATAGCTGGCTAATGTTGAATTTGTTTTTTTTAATTGATCAGATTTTAGTACTGTTGTCTGGGCTTGAAACCGAAAAAAAATTTTCCGGTTTCGGTTTCGGTTTCGGATACCGGTTTTGATTTTTTCCGATTTCGGTTCGGTTTCGGATACCGTATCAATTTTTTCCGATTTCGTTTCGTTTCGGATACCGGTTTTGAATTTTTTCGATTTCGGTTTCGGTTTCGGTTTCGGTTTCGGATACCGGTATTCATTTTTTCTGTTTCGATTTCGGTTTTTAACGGTTTTGACCGGTATTCAAAATCAGTATCGAATATCGGTTTTAATCCCTGTATTTATAATAATTTATAATGACATAAAATACTGGCGTAGGAACCTACTTGCCAATCGCCAAACATTGCGTGGCGTACGATTTAGCGTCTGGTTGCCTGACAAGTACTATAAGATTTGCAATCAATGATAATATTTACACTGGAATGAATACGTAATTATGACGTATTTAGTTATAGCCTCTCCACTTCATAACACATTTTC